CTTCCGGTGAAGACCGAAAATTTTCGGATGCGAAACTGAAACCGACAAACCTAAAGATAAACCCACATGCCTTCTGATAGGGGTGTGGTTTGATTGTGGTGGAAGTCGCTCCTCTGCTCGCGTCCTAAGAGTTTGACACTCCTCTTTGGACTATGTCCCAGTTCACTGCTAAGAAAAAGTTCCACGTTATGCTGCATCCTAACTGATGTCGTCCGCACCATGTTGTTTGTTTTGAGAATTCATCCTCTTGGATGCTCTCGACAAAGACTGAGATAAACCCATTAGCATAAAAATGCAATTCAAATGGGAGACAGTGTCTTTTACCGTGTCGACACTTAATTGTTCTCTTTGAATATTCGACGTCAACTCTATCGGGTTTGACGTTAAGAAAATAAAGTTTGTATCTCATATTTGCAATATGATCTTCAATGTACTCTTCCTTTGATGTCAAAGTAATAAAATAAGTTGATGTAAATATGTTGACAGTTCTCTTGACGTCGTTGCTAATAATTCTCTTGATGTCATTTTGTAAAGAAAAAATGATGCAGTCGATGTTGATCTTCTTGTGATGGGTAAGTCTTTTTCTTGTGATGTATAATCATTTCTCTTGCGGTGTATGAATCTCTTTTCGCGATGCATGAATCTTCTCCTGTAATGCATGAATCCTTATCCCGCAATGCATGAATCTTCTCTTGCATTGCATGACTTTTCCGCGATGCATGACTTTTCCACGATGCATGAATCTTCTCTTGCAATGCATGACTTTTTCGCGATGCATGACTTCTTTTTCGCGATGCATGATTTCTTTCTCTTGCTATGCATGATTCTTCTCTTTCGCAATGCGTGACTTTTCCCGCGATGAATGACTTCTTTTCCGCGACGCATGATTTCTTTCTCTTGCTATGCAAGGGTCTTCTCTCTTGCAATGCATGGATTTCTTTTCTCGCGATGCATGAATCTTTTTCCCCGCGATGCATGAATCTTTTCCCGCTATGCCTGACTTCTTTCTCTTGCTATGCATGGTCTTCTTCTTGCTATGCATGATTTCTTTCTCCTTGCTATGCATAAGTCTTCTCTCTTGCTATGCATGAAGCTTTTCTCGCGATGCATGATTTTGATGATGCCTCCCTGATACCCAAATGAAGATAATGCTTCACCGAGCAACATATGTGATCTTCTGAGTATCTTCTGGAACGGCGGTATCGTCTCAATCGACAATATAAATAAAAATGACCCTTGAGTAGTGGTATCATCTCATTTGACAATACGATATAAATGACTCTCCGGGTTGTGATATCGTCTCAATCGACAATATAAATAAAAATGACCCTCGGAGTAGTGGTATCATCTCATTTGACAATACGATATAAAATGATCGTCTCATTCGTCAATACAAAAAAATAATAGGGTAAGAAT